TCCGAGCCAGCCAGGGCTAGCTATATAGTGAGCCTCTGTCATTTAAATAAAATACAAAAATTAAAAAAAAAAAAAAAAAAGGTGGTGGTGGGGGGATCGGGCTGTTGAGATGGCCTGCAGATAAAGGCACTTGCCACCAAGTCTGATAACCTGAGTTTGATCTCCAGGACCCATATGTGATAAAAAGGATGCGAAGACTCCCAAAATTGCTCTCCATCTTCACATGTACACCATGACATGAGTATCCCTCCTCCTTTCCTCATGAATAAATGTAATTTTTAAAAATTGGGATTGAAGAGAAGGCTCAGTGTTTAAGTTCACTGGCTACTTTTTTAAGGGTTCAATTCCCAGCATTCACATGGTGGCTCACAACTGTCTATAACGTTTTTAGTTCCAGCGGACCCAACATCCTTTTCTGGCTTCTGTAGGTACCAGGCACGAATGTGGTTCACAGACATACATGCAAGCAAAATAACCATGTACATAAAATAACAAAACCAACTGAGAGGCCGAGGAAATGGCTCCGCAGTTAAGAACACTTGCTTTTCTTCTGGAGTACTAGAGTTCAATTCCCAGCACCCACATCAGGTTATAACCACTTGTAACTCCCAACTCCAGGGGATTCAACTTCTTTTGTTTGCTGTGGGTATCCACACTCCTGTGCACTCACACACACACACAAATACACACACACACCATTTAAAATAAAATAATTTTTTAAAATAATCTAGTTGATTGTGGTGGCATGTCCCTGTAATCCCAACATTCAGGAGGGAGGTAGAGGCAGAAAGATCAGGGGGTTAAGGCTGTCCTTAATTCCATCCTGGGTTATATATTTGCCTTTTTATTTTCAAAACAACTATAAACATTCAATGAGTTAATATGGCTGAGCCCTTTTTGTTACCAGTTGAGGGCATTTTTATCAAAGAACACAATTTTACAAGTTTTCTAGGCTTTCAATCATTAAATAAGGTGTAGAACTACAAGCATGGTCAAGGATTGTAAGAGATATATTATGATTTATTTTGCTCCAAATACAGAGTAGTTATAGTAGTTACTAATCTTGTCTGCTCCATACTTTTTAGACCCAGGATATATCTAGTACATTGAGCCCGTTGAAAAGCAGATGTTTGGTTTTCTTGCTGTTGGCAGTATCTAGCCAGCATTATCCCATAATTGCCTTTAAAAGTTTAATGGGATTAATGTTAGGAATCTATTTCTAGGCTAGAGCCATTGCTCATAAGAAGCTATCAGAAGTAGGTCTCAGTCTCACAGTTCTGGCTTATTTTCTGCCCTATTGCATATTATATTTTTAAACTCTATGCCAGGGTTGTCTGTTTTCTACCCACGACAGCTTTGCTGTTCTTACTTCTAGGCAGACTCAGTGGGACCCTCCCACTTGGGAAAGCCCAGGAGATGATGCCAGCCTAGAGCATGAAGCTGAGATGGACCTGGGAACCCCAACATACGATGAAAACCCGATGAAGGTGAGTGTAGCTTCTATATGTGTCCTGGTCATTTGAGCATCTGTGTCCTTTCATTTCAGTAAGGTCAGTAGCCATATAGTTTGGGAATTTTTTTTTTTTCTCTTTCTTTAGAAAATATGTGGAAGTTCTTTTGTCAAAGGAAGAGATGGAAATCAAAGAGAAAGACTATTTTTAGACATTCAAGGAGTCAGATGTACTCTAGCATATTAGCTACTTATTTGCTTAAGAAATATATTTAGGGGCTGGAGAGATGGCTCAGTGGTTAAGAGCACCAACTGCTCTTCCAGAGGTCCTGAGTTCAATTCCCAGCAACCACATGGTGGCTCACTACCATCTGTAATGAGATCTGGCGCCCTCCTCTGTATACATAATAAATAAATGAATCTTTAAAAAAAAAAAAAAAAGAGAGAGAAAGAGAGAGAGGGAGAGAGAAAGCCGAATTCCTACTTTCAAAAAAAAGAAAGAAAGAAAGAAAGAAATATATTTAGAAGGTTTTTGAATATATGAATAGACCAGTTAATGAAAATGTTTTGTAGCCCTAGTGTAGATGGAAGTTGCCCAGCCCTGCCCAGTCCCACAGCTGCCGTTATTATAATAATCACTCAGAGGCTTGATATTAATGACAAACTGTTGGGTATATGGCTCAGGCTTCTTGCTAGCTAGCTCTTTCATCTTAAATTTATGTATTGCCACATGGCCATGACGTTACTGGTCTGCTGGCATGTTGCTCCTTGGGTGGCAGACTAGTGTCTGCCCTGACACCGCCCTCTTCCTTGTATCTCTCTTGGATTTCCTGCCTCGATCTTATCCTGCCTTATCATAGGCTGAAACAGCTTCTTTATTAACCAATAATAGCAACACATATTCACCATCATCCCACAGCACTCCCCCTTTTCTGTCTAATCAAAAAGGAAGGTTTTCATTTTAACAGTAAAATTACATATAACAAAACAGTTATCAAACAAGAATTACAGTTACTATATCTAGTCTATTTGTATTTTGCAAAACTTAAAAAAGTTCAATCACACTAATAATAACAGAAGACTAAAGGAGAAAACTAGAGGCCCCATGATAATTATATTCCATACTCCTTTATAACTTTTTTAATATATTAATTCTTCTTCTCTTGATATTGGGTTGAATAGATGGTTTCTTTTTATTTGTGCTTTGGCTATTTATTTCTGAGGCATGGTCTCTCTAGCCCAAGCTATCCTTCAACTAGCAATCTTGCTATCCCAGTGTCAGGATCACAAGCATGTGCCAACACATTCTGCTTGATTTGACTCTTTAAATTGAATAATTTAATGGACATTGCACTTTAGTGTCCTCTTATTTTGAGATTAGTTAGACCTGGAATGAATTTAAACTGGTTATGTTAAAACCCACCAAAGGGGTCATAGAGATGGCATAGTAGATAAAGGACTTGCTGCAAGACCCTGATGGCCTGAGTTCAGATCCTCCAGCACAGTGGGCGATAGAAACAGGAGAATTGCCTGGAAGTTCTTGGGCCAGCTAGGCTAGAGTACATAGCATACTGGCAAGGACTAACAAGACTCTGCCTCAGGAAAATAAATGGCCTCCAAAAAGAAAAAAAAAAGAAACCTCACAAAACCATGGCATTTGTGGTGCCTGTATTCACACATACACATACACACACATCATACATACAGGCAGGTAGTGAATGAATCTCACCCAAGGAGACGGGTGGTGATTCATACTGTCATCATTAATGAGGGTTGCAGATTTGAGGCCAGCCTTAGCTACACAGCAAGAGCCTGTCTAAAGGGAAACAACAAAAACAGAAGCCAACAGCACCAAGTCAGGGGGCTCAGAAGATTAAGGAGCTTACCTCCAAGGTAGATGATCTCTTTGATCCCTGGAGCCCATGTTGGAAGGGGAGAACCAACTTTCAGAAGTTGTCTTTTGACTTCCATGTGCATGCTGTGGCATGTCTCCCCCCCCAAACAAGCAGCAACAAGAGAGGCACCTCATTTGATTCTCAAGAGTAGAAGACTTCCTTTCTTGTTCCACTTACTATGGAAATGCTAGAAAAAAATATTTTACTCTTCATCTTTCCTCTGACAAAACAGTTACTGAGATTAGAGGTGGTATAAATACAGAACAAGTACCTACTAGTTGAATTATCCTTTATCCTTATTTATTAATAAGATTAAATTATCTCCAAGGATGACTTTTATGTGTTTGACAGGCATCTCACATTGTGACCTGGCTGTCCTGAAACATCTTTTGTAGACAGGCTGTCCTGAAACCTTGAGTGATCCCGAGCTCTGCCTCCCATGTGCTAGGTTTATGGGCATATGCCAGAATAAACTTTTATTTCTAACTAGTTAGGTATTTCCATATGAATCAAGGCTTGGGAGGGCCTCAGTGTTTTAAGAATACAAAGGGATCCTGAGATCGAAACTTTGAGAACCACTGTTTTAAGATTTGTAATACCCATGTTATCTCACAACAGGTTGTCATCTTATGCTAGACCACATTTCTGTGGTTACTTACAGCATAACTTTATCTCTGAATCTAAGAATTTATATTTCACTTGCTTCTGTCCATTATGTTTTTCAATCATTTTCTCATCTGTTAATGAACACCAAAATATGTCACTACATTTCACTTTAAAGTCTGTTAATGGTGGTATAAAACTGGGGTTAGGATTCAGATTGGGGCTGTGGGGGCTGAGGGTTTCCTCATTAGTGGTGCAGCTGTTTAAGCATGTGCACCCATGCCCACAAAATACAAAGACTGATAAAATGTTAAAGAAAACTTGAAGCTTTTATTTAGCCAGGTCCAGTTTTTAACTACTGTTTAGCATTTCCAGTACTTTATTCTTTGATATAGAATTTTGTTTCCACCTGGAATTGTTTCCTTTTATTCTGAAAATTTTCCTTGAGTATTTCTAGTATTTCAGATCTACTGGTGATGAAGTTTGTGAGCTTGTTTTATCTGGGGAGGGAAAAAGCAAAGAAATTACTATATCCCTTTAAAAAATACTGAGTAACTTTAGTTCAATTTGGTACAGCAAAATTGAGCAGAAAGTAGATCAAACAGAGAAGGCAAGGAGACCCTGGTGTTCTCGTGTTCCTCTGCCATGTATCCATAGCCTCTCCCTTCATTGACATCTCACCCCAGGGAGCTGTGCATTTAGGGTTTCTGTGTCTTTTCATGGTTGGTGTTCATTTCACTTTGGTATTAAGTAATGCTCCAGTGTCTGATGACACCACTGCTTACCGGTTACCTGCTGAAGTGCATCTTTCTTGACTTCTAGGTTTTGTAATTTTCAATAAAGCTACTGAAAACACCTGTGTGTGGGGATTTAGCTTGGGCATGGTTTTTAGTTTCTTTGGATAAATACCAATGAGCATAAGTGCTGAATTACATGGTAGGAATATGTTTAACTTTGTAGGAAACTTTGAGACTGTTATTTGAAGGGTATTGTCACTGGATATAGAATTCTCTTCTCTTCTATTCATATGGAAGTTTTGCCTGCCTGTATGTCTATGTACCACAGGGCCAAAAGAAGGTGTCAGGTCTCTCTGGTACTGGAGTCACAGATGGTTGTGAGCCACCATATGGGTGCTGGAACTCAAACCCAGGTCTTCTGCAAGAGTATCCAGTGCTCTTATTGATACTTTTTCTTTTTCCTACTTTTTAGCTCTTACCTCTTCTTTCTTTTCTTTTTTGGTTTTTTGTTTGTTTTTGTTTTTTTGAGACAGGCTCTTTCTACATAGCCTTGGTTGTCCTGATACTTGCTATGTAGACCAGGCTGGCCTTGAACTCACAGAGATCTACCTGCCTTCCGAATGCTGACATTAAAGGCATGTGTCACTACCTCCAGCCTACTTTTCAGCTCTTAAAATTATTCTATTTTGTTCTGGTTTTGTTCAGACTGGGTCTTGCAATGTAACCCAAGCTGATGTTGAACTTGATGTAGTCCTGATACCTTGTCTCCTGAAAAGTGTATGTCACTACACCTGACTTATAGCTGTTCTGATAAGAAAAATGTAGTTTTTCTTCCCTTTTATGTATTATTTCTTTTCTAAATGATTTTCAACAGTTTTGCTTTTTGTTTGTTTGGTTTTTTTTGTTTGTTTGTTTGTTTGTTTGTTTTTGCTATATACTTTACTTTTCTTTGTTTTTAACTTTCTTGTGGTTATTCTTCTCAACCAAGATTGATAGTTTTCATCAAAGCTGCAAGTATCTTAGCCATTAGTTTTTCTAATCTATCTTTTGTACCATGGCCTGTTTTCCCTGCAACTCTCTATTGTATAAATGTTGCTAGACCGCTGGATTTCTCACAGGTCACTGAATCTCTCACTTTCTTTTTTTCAGTTCTTTTCTCCTTACACTCCAGGTTGTATAGTTACTGTTGTCTTCTCTTTAGAGACTACTGATGCTGCTATTTATAATAAGCTAAATTCATCCAGTGGTTTTTAAATTTTCAAGTATGCTTCAGTTATAAAAGTTTCTTTCTGTGGAAATGCAACCTTTTTTTGTCTTTCTAATGTGAAAATCCAGACCCGCACCTTCTGGGTTGGTTAACCCTTTGGTTTATGCGTCATAGATGAGAAAGCAAGTGCTCTTTGACCTTTCTTTCAGTCGTTCTTTCCCTAAAGCACAAGGCAGCAGTCTGGGTGTCAGTCAGTCTTTGATTGCCTTTAAGCCCTAATGCAGAGATGCCCTGTTCTGGCTTGTGTAGCTGGAATCTGCTTGAATGCACCCTTCTTAGCATTTTACAGTTGCGTTCATCTACTCAACACATCTGTGGACAGGAGGACTCAACACATCTGTGGACAGGAGGACCCTTCTGAGAAAAGCCTCCATTCCTTAGGTCCCATTTTACTCCCTTGGTGTCTTTAGTTAGAATGTAAGCCTTTCAGGGCCGTGCATTGCACCACTCTAACAAGTTTTTGTCAATCACAAGCCCTGTGTGACACATAGATGGAGAGAAAACCAAAACTGGGTGTTCGTCACCTGAAAGTTAA